TTTCGCTAAGGGAATAATGTCTTGTCTCTCATCTGGTGCTGTTTCAGAAAAAAATTGTTACTGTAACGGTGAAAATGAAACCGCACCCACACCACACCACACATACCAAATAACTAGCAAATCTAGACACCACTAAGCAACAAACAAAAACCATAAAAGAAAAGGTGAACAGAAAAGGAAGAGACATATCCATGCATATGTGAGTAGGGTTTAGGTTCTTCCTTCCTAGCTATATCCACTACCCTATCAAATATTAATGCTTTCAATTATTGCAGAAATGTAAGGGTCCTTTGTCCCTTCAATTTTTTTTTTCAAATTTGTTTTTATTTTTATTTTATTTTAGATATAGTCATTTTTTATTTTTTAAATATTATTATTTTTTATTCTGTAGTATTTTAAATTAATCATAATTTTAATGACTATAAATTATTCCATTTAGCCCTTTCACAAACAATTTTTTGAGTAATTATCTTAATTATATTTAATTTATTATAAATTTATTTTAAAATTAAATATTATTTATTAATGAGACAAACTTCGCTATTTAAAAAAAAATTAAAGCATGTTAAATTTTAAGATACATCAACAAATATTATTTTTATTTTATATTGTTATTCTTAAATTCTTTTTTTCATCATTGTTACAAACTCATGAAAGTTTAATGACACTTGAAATTGGTGATAACAAAAATAATATTGTTTTATTAAAAATATATTTCAGTTATCATTTATGTAAATATATTTTTGAAATTTATTCTCATGTAATTTTAAAATATATAACCTATATAAAAATTAATATTTATATATTCATGTAATCTAATGAAGACAAAATTTAGATACTTTTTTCCCTTTAAAAAAAAAAAAAAAAGAGTGTGGTCTATATTGATTTGTGAATATCAAAGCTGTCATTCATGTTTAACAAAAGTTTATAAAATCATTTAAACATTATTCAGACAAAATTTTGATATTGAAAGCAATATCAAAACTTTAGGAATGACTACAGTAATTTTGTTTTGTATATGGATGAATTAAAAACGTAAAGTAGGAGACAAAAAGAAAACAAAAAAAGTAGGGTAAGTGGCTACGGTGCAAGAGGAAAAATGTTGGAGATAGATTTTAATGGAACGATAGAATGTTATATATGTCATTAAAATGCACTTTTCCTTAGATTTCTCTTCCTAAATTAATCTCTAGAATAGCATGTAAAGTCAAACTTTTATTATTATTATTATTATTATTATTATCATTATAAACTGTTTTCTTATTTTTGTCTATTGATGATAAAATATAAAATAGAATTATTTTTTATTTGATGTGTGTTGCAGAAAAAGCAATTACTTTTTATTGACTTTGGCACATGTTTTGTAGCAGGGCATCAGCGTCCCATTTATATTTTGCTGAAATCAGCGGCCAAGAAGCTCACTGTCAATATCTTTCCCTTCTGTCAATGTCATATCCAGCTCGTAACCAGCACGCCTTTAACGCATTCTACTCCATTTCTATTTTTATTTTAATATTTTCAACTTTATACTAAAAAATTATAATTATATTATATTTTTTAAATCTAAATATTAAATATAATCCCCGCTAACATCAAATTTAATTTATTATGTTGTAACAAACTGTCTCATCTTTTAATTTGTAGTTCCATAAAAGTTAGATTTTAACCTTAACATCCATTTGGTTAGAAAAACTATAAAGTAAAAAATAAATAGCATAAAAAATTATCATAAGGAAATTATTCATTTGTTATTTAGTATTGAAAGTGATAAAAAGTAGATTATTTTTTATTGCATCTATTATAGTTTATTTTTTATTATATATAATAAAAGAAAATAATATTTTTAAATTCATTTTAAAACTATTATTTTTTATCAATGTTATCATCATAATTGTAAATAATATAGAAATCACAGTGAATAATAAAAAATAACTGACATTAACATACTTTTTTTAAGTCAAAAATTAATTTATATATATTATATTCAATACATTCATATTTAATAAATTAGTTTTCACATCAAACATTTATGTAAGTTTTTGCAAAGGCCTATTAACTAAATCCAAAAGGACAAGAACATGCAATTAGGGTTTGATTCTTTTGTTGAATCACACGCTCGCATGCATCAATATGAGGACACCCTAACAGTGAATTAGATGATAATATTGGAACTTTTATTTCGATTAAGACTCTTCACTAATTCATTTTTTTTTTCTGATGTGATGTTTTGCCGAAACATCATCATCATCATCATCGATTAATCAATTTTCAAGACGTTGCTACCATAATCTCATAGGACGATTATGGTGTGATTTTCTAGATTTTCCCCTAATATAAGGTGCCAAAATTAAAATTTCCTTCTATTTTTCAACTTAGATTTTCATGGGGCCTCTAACTACGACATCGTAACCACTGGAATGGTTTCGTTTTCTCCATCATTAACCCAAAACTTTCTCCCAAAACAAAAATTAGATTTTTTTTAATATTTGTTAGAATAATTTCGTTAAGTTGATTAAACAATTGCTCTGCAATTCATTGGTTTTTTTAAGCGTTATAGCATTCTACGCTGGGGAAAATTTCATTTCATTTTCAGTGAATATATTTACCTACCACTAAGATAATAAAATAGGTTAATTACTCCGTTTTTAATTTTAAAAAAATAAGGTAAAATGGACTATTTCATTATTAATATTATAATCAATGGATTATAAATTTCAATATATATTTAATAAAACAGACTGAGAAACTAGAATTCGCCAATAATTTTTTATATAACAAGTTTTACCTATTAAAACAAATTTACTTGATTTATAAAAATAAGTATATAATTGAGCTTATGTAAACACTAGGAAAAAATATCTACCTACTCACTACTCTAAATACTAGGCTATCTTAATTGGCCTTTCACTTGTATAATTAAAATTTGATTTGGAATTTGGTTCATTGAAAAAATTGATACTCATTTGATCTATTATAAATTGATATAAATGGGTAGATTTTTTTTGTGTTTTTAATATTAGTTTTGACAATTTTATATTTAAAGAATTTGTTAAAAATATAATATTATTTTTTGCTTTATTTTATCTCACGTAATCATGTGAGGCTTTAGACAAATAATCATTTGACAATGTCTTAGTCTTATTGTTGAGAGAGTAAGTTTTTCATTTTATATTTATAATTTTTTCCCAAGTTAATGTAATGGAGATGACAATTTATTATTATTATTATTATTATTATTATTATTATTATTATTATTATTATTATTATAATATATATTTTAAATTATTAATAAACTTATTTTGTATTTAATATATTATTTTTATTTTGTTAAATTCAATAAAATTCCGATTGAATATTTAAAATTATAAATCTAAAATTCGTATATTTTAGATTAGATTTTAAAAACATTAAGAAAGTTACATAAATAAAGAATTTTGCATATATAATTTGAATAATTACTTAAAAAAAGTGACATATAAAATAAGGAAAATGAAGAAATTGGGGGACCTGGCCCTAAGAGGTATGGTACCTACCTCCAAAGTGTCCAGTTTATTAGTATACTGTTTGTATACATTGTAATGAATTAACAGCTTCTTCCTATACATTTATGAAGGTCCCCTCTACCTTTTCTCTTCTCTATCTGCCCCTCCAAACCCTATGCTTTAAAATAAGACAGAGACACCTCAAGTACACACTTCAACTCATGAGTGCCTTAAATATTTGGAAAACAAGTGAGATTATTTTCTTTTCTTTTCTTTTAAATATTATGTTTTAACTTCTAACTTTTTATATTTATTCTTATTTTGTTCTTCAAATATTTATTAATTTGGTTTTACTCTTTTCTATATAAGGGATGGATTTAATACTATTACTATTATTTTTCTGTATGAAGAATGGAATTTTTTTATTAAAATACCAATGTGAAGAATCAAAACACAAATAAGATGTTAAGAATCAATAATACTATTCTAATAAAATTCCATCTTACAACTCACTAAACTAATTTGTTTTTATTTAGTTTCTGAAACCTGAATTGTATCAACTAGTCTGGTCCTGAGAACTCTTCCAAGGGTTTCATTCATGGGCCGTCAAATTCATGGCTTATTGTTTAGCGTAGTTAATAAGGTGAAAGGAAGACGGACCGTACACAACAACTTTGTTTTACACGTTTTCTTCCACCCACTTGTTTAAAAAAAAAAGGAATTTATTTAAAATTTTATTCGTCTTTTTTGTTAATATGGATATTTTTTTATAATATTAAATTAAAAATAGCTTTTTTAATAAACAACTATGATTTTTATGCACCATTTTTTCACACACTTTACTCACGTTTTTAACACGAATTATAAAAATTGATCTTATCAACATATCATATTAATGAATAGGATGACATAGCAAACTGGTTAAATCTCACAATTAGCCGAGTAGTTTTTTTTTTTTTTTTTTACTTTAACACGAGAAGTATACTAATTCATGGTTCATTTTATTTTTCAATATTTAAATTATTACATTTACCACTTTTTCATTCTTCCTTTCCTATATCTCTATTACTACTTTTTGGAGTTACTACTTCCATTAGATTGAAGATATGAGAATAGCACTTGACCTGAACAGTCTAAAGATCCACAGCTCCACGCACAGTAATGACCAGGATTGGAATCTAAAGTGTTTCATATATTTGTGAATACAACAATTATCGTATGGTGATAATACAAACCATGATTGATCAAATCAAATAGTCAATCTACAAATTGTTGCTTCGTGTTTTTACACCAAAAGAATCTGCATTCTCGCTACTTTCAACTCACAATATCATGTCAAGATGTCGTATCTGCTCTTTTACCAAAACTCATAATGTTTACACCCAAACTGTACATCAAAATGGCTTTTATAAATAAATTACAGAAGAAGAAAAAATTGATGTATCTGGGTAAAAGCTAAATCATGACCACACTAGAGCCATCCAAATAAATAAAAATGGTGCAACCATGTTCTGAGGATCAGGAAAAAACGAAGTATAAAAATTTGTATAAGAATGCAAGACATAATACAAAAAGAACTTGATCAGACAAGGATATTATCTTGTCACCGTCGTCAGAATTGTTTGAATTGTGACTTTGATCATTTGAAGGGGCCGAACACATAAGCTCTATGGAGAAAGAGGCAGGGCTACTCTGGCAACTCGGCATGAAGATCATTTCTCCAGGGACACATTTGAATTCACCATTACTCCACTCCTACATTTATAAAGTGAAATTTTAGTTAGTATCTGCACAGTAAATAAGATATGGATATTTTGGGGCTCACTAGTAATAAAAGACCCCGTGTGATCCGATAACTTAATTTTTTAAGTTAACGTCTATTACTAAGATTTTTACTTCCTTCATCAGACTATTTTTTTTTCTTTGCCTCTGTTAATTAACAGGTTTTAAATTATAGACTGAATATTTGTTCCTTACGTGAATACAAATCACATAAATTTGTACAGTGCATCAGCAAAGTAACTCCAACAAAAGTGCAACATCTTTCTATATCACTATTTTGTAAACAAAAAACAAAAACCTCAGAATTTAATATTGTATTTTTATTGCAGATAGCTAAATGAGTGTAGCTGTGAGATATAGTAGGAAAATACAGAAGGCATATTGATGAAATCAACCAATACAAAATCTTAAAATGAAAAAAAAAAAAAATTCTATACAGTTTACTAAATAAATAATATATTAATAGGTATTTTTTTGCATTCACTGTAATCATATAATAATTTTACATCGCATTTCCTGTCATCACAATTCGCAACCACACTTTAAAACTACGGTTGCTACATGTTACTTCCATAGCAATATGAAATCATTTTTCGATTCTAACTCATTACCAGATAATCCTAAATTGAGTGACTAGTTGAAAATAGCTATTGTAGGGTAATGCACTATCTTAATCTCATCAAGTATAAGGATTTAATTTTTCATGCATTGGTTACAACACTTATCAATTGTATCATGTATCATCAAATCATTAAAAAAATATTATTATCGCAATTGCTACCGGTCTAACATTTTTATAATGTCGTAATAGTAATACGTAATTACTCAGTAGTATAACAAACTTCAGGCTTACAAAACATGAAATTGAAACTTGATTGAAGTATGTAACACAAGATGAAATTACCTGTAGTTGTTTGCCAACAGTGACAACTATATTCTCTGGACCTGCGTCAAATGAAAGGGGACCTCGTTCAGTTTGGACGTAAAATATACATTGCTCTATAGGAAGGTAGAAGCGCAAAGCATGATCGCAATGTCTGTCTTTTCTCTTATGCGAAACGTCTTCATTTTGTATGGGGACATTATCGTGCGGATACCTGCACAAGCAAATCACAGACTCTGTATCTTGAATTCGCTCTTTAAACTCTATAGATGAGCCGTCCTGTAAGACCAGGCTCACTTGCTCAATTATACTATCCAATATACTTGCAACATTCCCCATGTGAACCCTGCATGATAGTGAACACACAAAACAAGTAATTACCACCTTCAACAACTTTAATAGTGACAGAAGAGCATACCGTTTACTATTTCCCTTTCTCTTCTATACCCGTCAACAATGAAACTTACACCTCGAAGTTCGGATACAGCAATATACAGCGTGATTCGGCAATGGAAAAAATTAAGGATATTTTTTAGGGGTTGAACTTTCATGTATTATATGTTAATATTATATTATTTAATTATGTTTTATTTCATTATTTAATAAATTTGGAAACGCTTGTCTAACAAATTTGATACAATTTAAATTTAGAGAGATAATCACTTATTTTACATAAATTCTCTTACATACTAGTAAAACCGAGTAATTGTTTTTCCAAAATAAGCTAGATAAGAATAAATAATATTTTTAATAATTTCTTAAAATTTCCATTCTATAGAATAATATGCAAAATAATTACGTTGGAATCCAGCATAAAATTCCACTAGTAATACAACATGGACTTTTGATTTATTTATTTTTTTAAGCTTTTTAGATCAATTTCTAAAAATTGATTTTAAATGAAAAAGAATAATATAAATAACTATTAGAATTTTGTCAGAAATTTAAAGGAAGTGATTTTTGTGATTCTATGATAATGAAAAATAAGTTATTTATTATAATTATTGGTGAAAATGCTGATACTTATTAATAAAATAAAAAAATTAAAACAGAAAATGCACTTTATTTGTCTTAACTTTTTTAGTTTTTAAAATATAAAAAATAAAAACAATTATTAAAAATAAAATTTAATATGACAATTATCAAACAAACTTTTTAATTTTTAAAAACTACAATTTAAAAAAAAATACTAAATCATCGGCTGCATATACTGATAAACATCATCACAAAAGTAAAATGACACAGTGATATTGATATATTAAGTGTGCACAACATAAGATGGGACCTATTAGGATAACCTACTGGGAAATTGAATAGTTTCTTCAAGGGTTAGTTCAAAACTGCATGGATCCAAAACGTATATATGATAATGATAAGTAATTAATTGTTCAAACTAAATTTGATCAGTCTTTATAAGATATGTTTTACTCTTAATGTTAAAAATTTGACATCCTAATCCTAATATATTTTGTTTATTAAAGAATTGATATATGAAACATACTAATTAACACACATGATAAGAGAGTAAGTTCATTAAAGATACTTTATAATGATATAAAAAAAACTAAAACAAAGTATCAATTTTCATAATTGAGATAGCTAACAATAATTTTTTTTTAACTAAATCACTACTAAATAAATGATAGCAAGTATGCAAAGTGTAACAATAAAAGTGAAGTATTTCTTTTCTTTTGTATTTTCATTGTCAGAACAAAAGTATACTATGCATGTAAATATATACTATACAAACCAATTCGTTAATTGTAGGTGAAAAAGTTCATCGTAATCCAAACATTATGAAACGAAACAATCGAGGATCAATGATAACTGCCAACTCAAAAACAAAATAAAGAGTGTGTTAATGTGTACCAAAAGTTCCGATGCTCTTGGTCGAGGATAATGTCGTGAGGAGTGAATTCCAGTGAACCTTTGCTAGAGCGAACGCAGGGAATCATTTCTCCGTCACGTCCATTACGCTCGACGACGACGTTTCGCGATTTCTGGAAAACGCTTTCGGCTTCGTCCGCCATGGTTCGGAGCTCGCTACCGGAGATCCCGTGGCACCGGATCCGGAACGCGCCGAATTCCCTGGCGGAGCGCAGCATCAGATCGGCGGAGCCCAGCGGCAGCGACCGGAGGTCGATCTCAGCTGGCGCAGGCGTGAGGTTCTGTCCCGGCAGCGTTAGCTCCGGCAGCTGCAGCGACTTCTCGAGGAACTGGCTGAAGATTTCGCTCGCAGCGGAGCGCGTCCCTCTGCCGGTAGGGATCGGTGACGGCAGAGGAGCCGGAATCATGCTGTTGCAGCGCCGCATTGCGACCGCAACGTTTCGAAAATGTCAGTAGCCGCGTGAATACGATGAATCAGAATCAGATTCACAGATGAAAATTTAGGGAGCGAGAAGGATAATCGGCGTCGTTTTTGCGCAGCTGTGAGTAGTTTCAATGAATAATGCCAATTTGAAGAACGATCAAATGGCGACAAGGGAGAATAATCGAGACAACGACGTGGTTTGTTTATTTTGCGAGTTTTTTTTTTGGATGAATCATGAATCATAACACCGTTGGAGGAATTAAGAGAGAGAACAGTGGGAACGAAACGACGTCGTTGGAGGAAGAAATCGATGAAGAAGAATGGAGATTGCAATGGCGATGAAGGGTTGGAGTTAGAAAGGAGCTTTTTGCGAAGGCTGAATTTGGAACGGGAGGGTCCCTTGGTGGGTGCACTCCATTTCGCGTGGGGAGCACGACTTTCAAGTTACATGCTTCCGTGCAACGCAGGTCTATGGTTTATCATCAGCATGCATGTGCTATCGCGCCACGTGTATACAGGACAAAAACTTGGTTTGTTATGTGAGCTGCGTAGCGGGTTTTCATGGAAGTGGTTGTAGAGAAGCTTTAACTGCTAACTGATTTCATGGTCTCTGACTCCTGAGGAACGTAAATAAATAAATAAAATAAAATAAAAAGGCTGCAGATGCAGTTTTGAGGCTGTTATGGGCTAATGGGCCTGGCTTGTTTATTGCTTTTTGAGTTGGTTCCATTCATTTGGGCCCGCCGAAAGCAAAATTATATGTAGTCAGAAAATGGAATATTAATGTGGGCCGAAAGATAAAAGGTAGCCAATATAAAATGTGTATGCTTTTTCTTTTGGAGGGAGCATAAAGATAAATAGAAATCCTGTAAAGCAAAATATTCCCTATTGTTATAAGATTTTTTCTACAATATAAGATGTTGATTTTCGTAAAATTCCTTTATAGTGATATATTCTACTAACTATATTTTCAAAATAACTTTAATTAATCCACCAAAATTTAATTTAAAATTATAATGTTAGTGTATTTTGTAAGAGGTTTTAGGTTTAAGTAGCTATTATTGAAAATTATAATTAAAAAAATACAAAACATATCATGTCATATATTTAGTAAATCATCTACAATATGTATATTGTAATTATGTGATATATTTAGTAAGTCATTTATAGAATGCATATATGTCTCAGTATTTTTGTTGAGTCGAGAAATGTTTCATTCTATTTTCATTATGTTAAAATCATTGTTGGCATAAGATATTCTCTAAAACAACACTAAACACTCAAATTAATTAACATAAATGCCAGACAATAATATATAATGAGTAACATTTCATCGAACTCATTCTAATTAGTACAGTACACATGTAATTTATGTGGAGTTATGTTAATAATTTGCAGAAAAAAAATGCAAAATTTATAATTTAAAGTCGTGTCGTGTAAAAAATGATAAATAATTTTATGACAAAGTGTAGCCCTTCTCTTAAAATATCATAAACAGCATTGTAAATACATTTTTAGTTTCAAATATACTCAAACAGAAATATATTAAAATGAACCTTTTTTTTTTTCTCTTTTCACAAATTTATAATATTAACAGTCTCCATTAGCTTCTCCCATGCATACGTACTGTATTTGATTTTGTTTAATTACCATTTTAATTGATTGATTATAATTAATGTATTGTTTTTTTTTTTTTAGTCTCTGACTTTGTACATTATTACAATTTAGCCTTCATGTAAGTTTTCCCCCCTTAATAAAATAAAATTTTAATTTATTACTCAAATAACTGAGAATTTACCATGAATTTCTGATTAAAAATATTTGAAAGGTTTAAAATTAAATGAAATTGAAAAGATTTGATAAGATACTGCCTCAAGAAACTCTAATCACACAATCATCCAAAAGTTTAAGAAAAATCCATGATCATTATTCTGACTGCAGACTTAAATCTTTTGACACCGTATCTGCAAACATTTACAGTATCATTAACTGCATTTATTCATAATTTAAAACCTTGCATTCATGTCATACAATATAAATCAAAAGTACTGTGTTCAAATTTAGTAGCAGACATAAAGAGCATGCAGAACATAGTAAAAACAAGCCACATGGTCTTTTCAAACACATGGATTCGTTAATTATACAAGTTTCAATTATTTTCACACATCAACAACATGAAGAAGAAGAAGAAGAAGAAGAAGAAGAAGAAGAGCTTCTTAACAGTGAATCTACACAGGAGGAAAGCACGCACCACCTCTTAGTGGATGCCGAAACCCGATGTTCTCAACAGCACCAACGGTGTTGAAGAAGCGTCTTTTGTACTTGTGAATCTCGTCCAACATCATCGATCGCCGGAGCTGCTGGCTCCGCCGCTCGTGCGGGCACGACCGGATCCGAGTCAGCCTCGGGCAGTCGTGGCCCGAGCCGAACCTGCACCCACACGAACACCCCATCCGAGGCGGGTACAAAACCGGTTTCGCCAAACTGGGTTCGGCTTCTTCGCCTCCACGGTACGACAATGTGGTGCACTTGTTGCGTTCGGTTCCGTCGTGCTCGTCTTCGTGGCTTGCATCGCAGAACTGGAATGTTGAATACTTGAAAGAGTTCATCGAGGCTTGAGAAATTGTGTCTTCGTTGTTCATGAACATGTCATCTGCGAAGAGTTCCAAGTGACTTATGATTCTTACCAGCAACAAAATTTTTGTGTAGTTCATACTGCATGTAGAGTCTAATTTAAAGGAGTAGGTACCTTGAGGCCATTCTTGAGCATAAGGGTAATGGTTGCGACGAACATGGGTCTTGAAGGTGTTGGAAGCAGACATGTGGCCAGAACCTCGAGGGGATGATGGAGAAGATGATAAGAAGAAGGGGTGATGATTATTGACATCTTCATCTTCTTCGTAGTTAAAGCTGTGCTGTCGTTGGTGGTGACACTTAACCCTGTCCCTCCAAGTTGGAACTAAAGTTGATACCTCATGATCTATCATTGCAGCAATCTCCAATGGTTCCAAGTGGCTAATCTCAAGTTCTTGCACCATCTCCATCGCCACCTGAATAGCCGTGTCTTTTAATGTATCAAATGGGAAGAACACATGTCTCGTGTGCCCTGTATGTGAAAAAAAATCTTTAGTAAGGGACTTGAAATTTATTCATGGTTTTGGCCTATTTCTGTGTGTTGCTAATCAAGTTTTATTAATGCTTTGATATACTTGATTATGTGTCATATGTAAAAATTAAGTGAGACCATGTTTATTCATTACATGGTTCATACTATCATCTTTCTTAAGTGACACATAATCATGTTTTATTAACTGATAAACTCATTTCTGAGTCAAGTGCAGATTGACCTATACCATCTAAATCAGGATGGATGAAAGTGTGCATACCCATTATGTCAGATATCCTCACTCTGAGAAAAATAGTGTTGTCCTCTTCGTTTATTGAACCAGTAATTGTCATTTCGGCACTCTTTGTTTGATCACGATGATGTTCAATGGGAACTAGTGGAATGGAATTAAACTTTTGAGTGTGATTTGGAGGTAATGGTATGTTTGGTGGCAATGGTATTTCAAGTTGGTCCATGGTTAAAAAAGGGTCCAACAAGAGCTCCTTCGCTGATGGTCTATCTGAGACATTTGCCAAACATTTTCCCACAAACTTCTGGGCTTCCAAATCTGGGATTCTGCTAAACGCATTGGGTAGCTTCCCCTGGCACATTAAATTATCCAAAGTATTAGAAATTATTGAAGTTATGTTAAATGAATGGAAAATTGGAATAAATGTTCAATTAAGCTTACCGAAGAAACTTTCTTGTATATTTGAGCTGGGTTGGCGCATTCACTGTATGGGAACTCAAAAGTAAGCAACTCTATCATGCACATACCAAAGGAATATATGTCTACCAGCTCGTTGTATTTCTCTTCATATAGTTCTGGTGCCATGAATTCTGGTGTGCCTGATAGTTCACATAAAACATTAATTTTCAGTTTGTAGCAACTAGGTCTTGATAGATTACTGATGATGTACAATTTGGTCCATGACAGTTAAAACTGGTGTTGCTCAGGTTCTTGAAAATTTTCATTTATACATGTCAATCATTTAAAAGATAAAATCGTTTATATGTTGATGTGCGTGTATGCATTCATATTGAATCATCCAAAATTGTATTGAAATGCTAGCAAAGGTGATTTTAGGTAAATATCAACATGTTCGGTCCATGTTAAAGAGTTGATTTTGAATTAAAGTAACTTTGATTGTCGGCAAAAAATTTAGTGCTGAATTTATAACTAACTTGTTTCCAGAATAAAAACATTCAAAATATCACTTCACTTCAAATCAATTTTAACCAAAATTGCAAACTCTCACCTAAATACACTTTTGGCAAACTTCTAAACAAGTTTTTGAATAGAGGTGCACTTCCAAGAACCGAAGCAATACAAGTTACCACCTAAACATATTGTATTATATATTAATTCATATTCTTTTTAACTGCTAAATCAGAGGAAGATGCATTACCTATGACACTGTGGGCATGTTGGGAGCTGCGAAGTATTGCTGCTAGGCCTAAGTCACCAATCTTGACCCTCCCCTGATGGCCATTGACAAAGATGTTGTCACACTTGAGATCTCTATGTATTACAGGAGGATTATGGCTGTGCAAATACTCCAAACCACTAAGAATCTGGAGAGCCCAATTCTTAACTGCTCGGATATCTACTCGCTTATACTTCTGCCTATACCTATAAACATAAAATATAATATGTTAACACAAAGATACTATAACTATGAAATATGGATGGTTAATTTAAGCTATATCTAGTAGTAAACAAGGTTCAGGGATGGATTGATTACTCTCTAAGTGTGCCGGAGGTGAACAATTCAGTGATGAAGTTGAAGGTTCTGTTGTTGACATCGATCCAAGAACCATAGAAGATCATCATAGAGTCATGGTTGAGGTGCTTCAGGAGATGAACCTCTGAATAAAGCCGCTGAAGTTGTTCTGGGGAGTGAAAGACATCACCAAGCTTGACTTGGTTCCAAGCCACTTCAATCCCTAGTAATTCATCAAATGCCCTGTACACAGTCTTCATTGCTCCTTTGCCAAGAACATCCCTGAACTACAAGCACCAACAATCACCATAATACATGCGAATTAGTCAATTAGATTAATTAACATGTAAAAGATTACATGAATACTCAAACATGACTAAGCATTGAGCATAAACCACTCGTTTGCATCCTTTTATAGAGTCACTCTCGAATCCATCAGAGCCCTAAACCATCCACTTTTTAATATGCAAGTCAACCTCTTATTCCCAAGCCTTTCGATCAATTATCAATTTCACAATAAAATAAAACTAAGTTCCATAAAACAAACTATTGTTCAGTCATTAAATTGCTCCTTGGAATAAAGTATAACATTGATATCGTGTAACTTAGAAATCAGTTTTGATTCTCAATTCAAATTGAAAATAAAGTAGCAACTAAGTCATCACCAATCTGAATTCGCCATAAACATTTTATAAGCACAAGCTATACGACAGATCAATGAGTAAGATCAGAAATGAGAGTAAATAAAAAACACTTACACGGCCATATCGACCAGATGGATCAGTTTCAACATATCCAAGCTGAGATTTAACTCCACCACTCGTGCAGAATCGCCCCTTGTACATGGCTGTACTGATTGTATCAGGCAATTCCATCTCAACAACTTCTCTGGCTAATTAAATCCTTGCTGTGCTTACTATGTATAGACACGAGTAGTAATAATATAGGAACAAAACAACATAGTTATATATAATATCAAGCTGAGTTTAAGAAGCATTTGAAAGAGGGTGTTAGATAATACGAAGCTTCCACTCATGGCTCTTGTAGGAGACACCAAATAATAGCCACAAGTGCCTTGAGTAGTCACCCCTAAGAATTAACCATGCATGCTATTTCAACAGCTCCACGTGAAAATTCATATATGGGCAAGTTAACTATTGGTTGAACAGTGTCAAGAGGGAGAAAGCACAGAGACAGAGAGACAGGGAGAGATAACACTCTTAAAAAAATTTTGGAAGATAAGAAGACAAAGAAACCGTTGTGTAGATCAGGCACTAATAATGAGTTAATAATGTGGCAAAAGTTGCAACCCGGAATGAGACCACACTAGAGAGTGTGGCTTCTCAGCCAAAGGGTGTTGATTAATTCATAGCTGGTGCCTTGGTGTTGAAGATAATGGAAGACAAAGACTGTTTGAAGAGTGGTTAGGAAAATGAAAATACCAAATAAGAGGAAACATGGCTGCTAGCTTTGGAAAATGGATTGGCATGGTTTGATAGAAACATTTGTGGATAGAAGTGATGGAATGTAAAAAATCGGATTATAGAGAATGCGAGGGGAAAAGGGTTGAAGATTGGTGATGTTGGTGGAGAAAGGAACAGGAAAGAAAGTCCCAAATTTGGATGTGTATTGCAGAGTTAAGGAGAGGGTTGTGATTGGTGTAATATTGGACTGTGTTTAGTGAGTAGACCACACGAGTAGGAAATTTTGTGGTGTCTCTTTCAAGTGATTTTAGCGTAAGCGACAAGTGATGGCTACCTGGTCCTGGTCCTGGTTCCAGAGGAATATTTAGTTAATGTGGTTCTCTAGATTGTGAAGTGCACAAAATGGTTCGTAATTGGAACACGTGTCATTGCAAAGGTTACAATTTGTAACACCTCTCACCACCATAATTATCATTTGCATGAAAGAATTTTACTTAAATTATAAGATTGTTATAGCCGATAAATTATCTCTCTGACTATTTAACACAAATACTAAGATTATTAGAGAAAGTCACAACATAACTTCCCAAAACTAAATCATCACCATATAAGGGACACCCCACAAGATTGAGGTAATTGTCTTGAATCTAGGCATGAACACACCACAATGAGGGAAAAAATACATAACAATTCAAAAGGACTAGGCATAGTTCACAAAATTGAGACCACTTAAAATGAAGCAACAGGTTCTAAGAATTATTTAAATGAAAAATTGTTGTTATTATAGTTGTTGGAGACAATGATAAATACCAAAGAAGAATGTGGAGACACCGCAACAATGAGTGCAAATCCAAAGTTGCAAAGTCTAGTTGTGGTGTTGAGACATGGTATGAGTGACAATAAATTCCAAACATGTATCTAGTGGTTTCCTTCGGAAACAATGTTTAGGATGAAATCATTTTGGTAAATTTTTTTAACTATGATAACTCAAAAGATACTCCCAAACATTTGGTGTATTTTTATACTTAAAATGTTAATCGTAAAGAAACTGAAATTGTGCCTGGTGAATATTTTTTACTTTTACATTTGTGAGTTTCATTGCATTCAATTGTTAACTATGATTAATTTTCAAATTTTGTCTCAATTTGACTTTCCTACTTTCATGGAATATTTTGCAGCTAAAGAGGTCAAATCTTATTACAGGTGTCTTAATAAAGTTAAGATAAGTATATACCAAAAAAAAACCCACAAAATTGAGCTAATTTCATGGGTTAAAAAAAGAAAAACAGGATATAAAGCTTCACACATTGTTTCCACTAGTAGATTAACACTAGTATAAAAATGAAATATTAGACAATAATATTTGGTAAAAGTGAAAGAGAAATATAAAATAAGAGAATAAAGTAAAACTCAGAGATCAAATCTCAGAAACAAAATAGGTGTGAAAATCATTCTTATGGTTGCAAGCCTCTAGCCAAACAAAATAAAAGTTAACCAAGAATTTTTTAAAAATGGAAAAATAAAAATAAAAGATGACCAACACACCATTTGATTGAATAAAAATAACTACAAATGAAAATCACGACTTGAGTGTAAAAGAATTAACATAAGATTCAAAATTATTATACCTCTAGAGAGAATTATCATCCTAAAGTCACTTCATTTACTTTTTTCAATTATTATTTTAGAAAGAGTAAAACCACTATTTAAAGATTTAATCTTAGAAAATATGAGCTTCTTAATGAAGTTTGAGAAGTCTTGGGTGTTTGTTTTTTTGTTTAAATTGTGGTCGCGGTTTGTATTTGGTTTAAGCTCGTTGTTGCCCGACATGAATAATATATATATTTGAAGAAAAACACTCGTTACTTTTAACATAATCTTACTAACTTTAACTTCTAAATTTCTAAAAATAAAAATAGTCATTCTTCATTGATAGAAAGTAAGATCTTCTATATTAAGTAAATAAATAATTTTCATATATTTTTTTATTCTTCTAATCATCCTTCCTTAATAAATTATATTGATATTTTTATAATGGATGCTTACTTTACCTTCATTCTTATCAAATAAGTTTTTTAAACTTTTTTATTATCATTTTTTCATTTTCTTATTTATAAAACAGTTTTCAAGAGTTAAACCGTTTTTTATATATAATTATATAATAATGATTTTTTTAAACTATTTTTTATCATCAAATAGAAAAAAATAAAGATATTGTAATTTAAAGAAAATTAATCATTATAATTTATATATAGTAATGGAGAAAACTTAATAAAAAAAAGAAAATAATATAAAAATTAAAAAATATATTAAAATAAATAAATTATATAGATAATATGTACATGCAAATATTTTATTATAAAAATAATTCCATAAAATTCGTTGTAATAACTTAAAAAAATAAATTACGTGCGTCCATATTTTGTCCACGAGTGAAAATTGGTAGGCACATTTACTATTGAAGAAGAAGTTAATAATGTATGTTTAGATAAAATGTATTAAAAATTACAACAAAAAACAATAATTTTTCCACTGACTAGGACTTGCTTTTTTTTTTAGAAGATAAATGGATTGATAATTTCTCCTCAACTTGGCCCCAATTAACTGGCTTCAGCTTTTTGCTTTATTTGTTCAATAATGGATCCAATAATGGCAATGGAACAATATGGACAAAATTTACTGGGCATGCAATTGTAGTTGTCGATGGGTGTCACAAAGAAGAACACTGAATTGCTCTTTGCCTCTGTTGCTTCCAAAAGCAGCGACAATGGTAGCTGCACAACGGAGATTGGAGTAGAAACCTATACACAGAGAGTAACACCAAACACTGCACCCTATTATTGCATATATTGTGTATGAGATATCTATGGATAGTTTTTAATTCACAAATAACTTTTTTTTTTTTTTTATCTCGAAATGTTTTTTGTCAATTGGGCCGTAGGGAGTCCACATGAACTCGGCTCGGTCCAATCATTTAGCCCGTTACCGAAAATTGATATCACGGGTTTTTGGCGAAGTGCTTCGACGTCCAAAACGGAGAGCGTAATGCTAATACGACAGCGTGAATCAGAGTGCGAAACCTGAGACGCTGAAATTTTGTTACAGTTGGTAGCCATGGCTGCAGCTACCGTGAAACCGCTTCTACCACTGTCGTTTTTCCTTCTGCTGCCTTCGTTTCTTCCGATCGCTCTCTCTTACAGACCCGGCGACATCGTTCCCATGAGCCGCATGGGTCAATACCACTCCGTTCGTTCTCATTTACCTTTTCATTCTCTGCGATTTTCTCTTCCTTTCATACGGCGCCGTTTCATATCTCATTCGTTTTCTTCTCTTGTGATTGCAGTCGCGAACCGTGTGGCACGACCTCATTGGCCGCCACTGCCCTATCTTCGCAGTGAATCGTGAGGTACGCATCTTCCGAGTTCGTTGCATTATGGTTTTCTCAATTTAATTAATTAAATTTTTATTTATTATTAAGTTTCGCTAATTTTAATTGGTTTTTTTCTGGGAATTGGCTTTGTAGGTGTTGATGCCCATACCCAAACCCATGGGTTTCACTGGTGCTGATGCTTATAAAATGTGAGAAATTAAAATTATGTTAATGTGTTCCTTTTGAGTTTATCTTATTTTTAATTCAGAATTTAAATTTTCTTAAATTATAAGGAAAGATAATGCCTCTATGTAAACACGAACTTTGTAAGAAGCAATTTGAAGTGGATATGTATATACTGGGGGAGTGGATTTGCTGTTTGTGCTGTTACTCTCTTTGTGAAATGAGGATTTTATAATGGTAGTTATTCTCTGCAGAGTGAATGGTGCGTGACTGATTCGTTTCTCTATTCTGGGAATAATTAAGCTGGAAATTTGTTAAAATGAAAATAAAAGGTAGTCTGGTTGATAGGGCTGTGAATTTTTAACCACATTTATAATGACCAATATTCTGGCAAGAGATGCTGATTTTCTATTTTTCTTACGGTGCATGGGTGAGAAAAGTGAACTTGAAATACTTGTTACAGTAAATTAAAGGAATAATGATGTATCATATTCTGAACACAATAAGAGTGATTGCATTGTCCTTATCTATTTCTATCTGGTGGACCTTGTCTTTAATTGCATTACTGCTGGAGAAAATATGGTTATAGTTTTCTTTATTTTAAATTTATGTGCAGATCATTTCAAGTTGGGAGGGAAAAGTTTTTGATCCCATGGCTTCTCGTGGTTAATCGCAAAAGTACAGAGGTTCCAATGATTGAAGTAGATCTGGTACTTAGTTCTGTGTTCATGATAGATTATGTACATGACATAAGTTTTCAATTATTGTTGCTAGCACATGGATTGATTGGAAATTTAATGTTACGCAGAGGCATTCAGGAAGTGATTTGCATGGTGTCACAGCTAAAGTTGTGGATATGCCTCATCACTGTATGTTGTTCTTCTCTAATCATATTTAAAAAAAAAACATTTAAGTTCTTTGCGTAGAGGCTGATAACTTGGTTGATACCTTACACTTTGATGAATTCCTATATGCCATTTATCTGGTATATTGAAGAGAAAGTTTGGGCAATATTATGATTTTGTAACTTATTTCTGGGGCCTTGATACAGAATCTGTTTTTTCTTTACAGATGTTGAAATTCAACCTGAGATTCGTAAACAATTCTGGGATTCTGAGCATTGGCCAAAACATATACTTGTCCGATATACGTGGTTTGTATCATTTTCGTTGCAGCTGTCTATGTTCATATTTTATGTAGTTTGTCAATTTTAATTTTGAAGTTTGAGCAAATTTATTGTTATTGAAGCCCCTGATCTAATTTGCTTGCATTTGAGGGATTGGGCTATGATGTTGGGATTCATTGTTTTGAAATCTTGTTTGCTAATAGCATCATGTGGTAAGACTCTGACTAGTTATACTGTAGTATTTGACTTCTAATATCAATCTGAAAAGGAGTATTAGTTAAAATTTGTACATATTAATATTGATTTTTTGAAGTATTTTATTTTCAGTTTCCCAAGATTCTCAGCAATATGTTTGAACACCCTTTCTTTTTATTGATGATGATATAGCAATATGTTTGAACACCCTTTCTCAGCAATATAGCAAACAAGTTGCAATTTAAATAATTAAATGGTAGTGTTTATAGAAATGTTTACTGTCACTACATGGTCCTTTATTTTGTTATTTCCTTTTGATTTACAGTTCCCGATCATGGCAATAAACATCATCCATTTTATACACCCGTCTGACTTGTTGTTCATCGACTTTACAATAAGCTTTATCCATTCATATACGTGTAGTGTAGGCATTAATTGCATCTAAATCACTAAGAACCTTTTTCTTTCAAACATAATTCGCGTTCTTAACTCCTACAGTTGCAGTATTTATTAAAACACTTGAACGAACACAGTAATGTTTTTGGTCAGTTGGTGATAGATATACGAACTTTTTGTTTATTAGTGTTTGAACTTTGAAAGATATGCTTTAGTCATATTCATCATTTTGAATAATAATAAATATCTAGATTGGGGAAAAGAACAATTGCTTATTTTGCTCTCTTAAAATATCAGGAAGGAGCATTCAGAGATAGATGTGACTTCAGGATTTTTTGTTCTGTTTGGTTCAGGTAAATAAATACTTTTCTCCCTAATCTTTGCATATATGGGGCATATTAAGTGAGAATACTTGACGATTGTGAGAAATGAGAATATTCTGTAGTCAACCTTAGATGAAATTTAAGGAAAAGAATTAATTTTAAATAAAAAGAGCTCAAGTGACTCTCTTCTTCCCCTCCCCCATGTTCTGGTTCCATGTTTCAGGAGGTTTCTGAAGTTGTTTTGATTCAATCGTAGTTTCCACTTTCATGAATTCTCGCTAAAATTGCTTCTAGTTCCAAACGCCTGTAACAGCTACTGACTGAAATTCATTCTGCCCATATGGAGCCTGAAATAATTGTTCTGATTTTGGTTCCCACAGAATCTCACAAGATGTCCTGTTTCCTCAATGAACTTTATATGCGTTTGGCCCACATGTTGCTCAATTATCTGTTAAAACAGAAGGAATAAATATATAAGCAACATGTGACTCCTTCCATCAATAAATTTGCCATTACTATACTTTTTGCTCAGCCATTTCTCTTGTATAGAGTATAATATCACTTTTGTGTTGGTCATTGACATGACAATGTGCCATAAGCATATTATTTTCCCTTGAACAAAATCTTTTCTTCTCTTCTACTCTCCCCAATGCTACATTCCTCTGTGGGCCTGTATGAACTTAGAGTTGTCATCTTTCTGAAACATGGAGCTACTTGGATGAGGGAAATATGGAACTGGGGTGAGGGTGTGGGGAGGGGAGTGCATCTGTGCGCATACACACACATATAAATACATGCACACACACACATACACATATACATATATATATATACACACACACACACACACATATATATATATATATATATATATATATATATAGATAAAGAGATTGCTATATTAACTCATTCTGTTGCATCTACCGATTGACAAGAGATTAAATATATTGGCTTTTAAATCAAAGACATAATGAATTTGTAGATAGAGTTGTGTTTTACTAAGGGAGTGTGCACTTTTGGTGCTACTGCTTTTAAAAATATGCAGGGCTCATGTTGTCATTCATCCTTTCAATCTACGTTTTGCAATCATCGCGTGAGAAATTGGAAAGGTACTTTTTGGTTCAGACTTGTAAAGAGAAAATTTCTCGTTTTGTTTATTCACGGTAGTAATTTTCATGCTGTTTGAATTCCCCAGATTTGTAAGGGAAACGGTTGTAGAAAGCAACATGCCTGGTGAAGTGGTAGCAAAGGTTGAATGATTCATCCCTAATGCCAATGATGGCAATGTATACATTGTAATGTTGTATTCGTGTATAGACAAGATCTGTTTTGGAGGAGAGAAAGGGATGTTGTTCTTGCATCACACACAAGCTATGAACCAGTTGTTTCGTTTCTTGGTGAAGGAGGTGAGTGCTAGTTGGAGTGTATTAATTTTATAGGACGAGCTGTGCAGTGGGAAGCAGTAAAAGTTGAGAGATTCGGTGTATTAATTCATAGGGAAGGCTGGATTGTAACAACGCAGCATTAGGTCAAATACTTAAGGCTATAGAAAAATAAATCATAATGTACCAGTTTTTTCGCAATCATTTGACCTTGTTATTTAAATGGGTCCTTGTCTTGTGATAGTTATTTCTCTTCATTTCTACCAACATAACAAATCAAATCGACACTAGAAGATAACATCTCCCGTCTTAGTAGATTGAATTATTAACTTTTGGTTTTCTCCCTATAAAGACCTGTTATTCGATTGTTTTATAAGTTTTAGTAATATTTTTTTTCAAATACACTCTTCACATTTGATTGTTAGTTATAATTTTAGCACTATTATGGAAAGAAAAACAGTTAAAGCTCTTTATATATATATATATATATATATATCAATTAATTAGATTATTTGATTTTTTTTCTTATTCTTGGAGTGTCTACATAATATGATTAACTTTCACACTATAATTTAAAAGTAATGAACACGACTATATTTTGGACATTGTTTCAAGAGATGATGTTGTATTTTTAGGAACACATTCTTATAAACGTTATAACTAAGACTGTAATTCTTAACATATGTAAAATCATGTTTCGTTGCCTTGTAGTATTTTGAGAAATTTTTAAAATGATGGAAATAAAAAAAGAAATTTATAATTGGTTTAAAAAAATAATTTTTTGAAAAATAAAACTACTTCAAGTAATTTTACGAAACTTTGATCAAACATTAGAATATTCCATTATCATGTTTACGTTCTTAAAAATAAACTTTTAATCGGTTAAATAAACACATAAATCAAAATCTCTAATAGTTAATATTATCTCACAAAAATAATTTTATGCAATTACATTAATCTTTTATTAATAATTTATAAATAAAATAAAACTAATTATATTTACGAATAGATTAATTATACGTTCATAACGTTAAACATTTTTCCTGTGGAGAGAGAGAGAGAGAGGAAAGGAGAAGGAAATGAAGGGACAGTTAGTTTCCAGTTGCTACCGAAATTTAGGCATGGACAGGTGTTGCTGTACGATCTGAGGCAAACTCAGTTCTTTCTATGCTTCCAACACCATCAAATCAAATTAAATATTCATAAAAAGCTCATCCTTTTCTTTACTACCCACTTACTAGGGTTCAAACTTCAAGTCCTCTGACAACAACACTGAATTTAACAATAAATTTAAATAAAAAACAATATATTTTTAAATCACGTTTCGTTATATATTTCTTTTCTTTCTTTTATTATTATTTTTTATTTCTATATCTATTATTTTCATCCCTTTTCTTATATTCATTCACATCCTATAAAAACATGGAGAAACAGAGCATCATCAAGTAATACCCAACTGCGTGGTCCTCCGAGATGGATGTTTGGTTTTGGGGGTAAGAAAATATATATAAATAATATATAAGGAAAAATAAAATTGAATGTTTAATTGTTTAATTAAATAAAAAATAGATGAACAATAAAATATAAAATTTTTAAAATTATGTATATTAATTATTTTGATAAAAAAATTAAAGAGAAAGATAAAAAGATGAATACAAATTGATGATAAAAAACATTATACATATTCCACTAACTTTAAAATTTGTTTTTCATATTCTTCTTAGTTCTAAAGAACAAAATTAACCATATTCCTAGTTGGTCCTATTTTTATTTATATGACAAGAATGATGGCATCACCAGTGACATCAAAGACAACCCATTTATACTAGCACATAAACAATACTAGACAAAATCATTAAACCTGTAATTAAATACTATTACTAGAGCCTTCAATTATTAATTCTCTCCCTATACTTTTAAGTATTTTAAACTTATGCTTCGAATCTAATGCTTCTTAAAGTATCAATTTTAGTTGATAATTTTTATAAAATCAATTCTTTTATCTATACATTTAGATGATGGTGATAATACTCATACCTAAAACATATAGTATACAAATACTTTTGCACATTAGCTATTTTATATATATAAAAAAAACAGTTAAAGACTAATATATTTCAAGATATATAAATTATTAAAATGAATTTTATTCTCTTAATAGATCTCAAAATTTTTATTTTTATTTTTATTTTGTCTCACTCTTATGCTCTTTTTCTTACTATTTCCTCACCATTACCACCAAAAGTCGCCACCGTTATTTCCCACATTCTCACACATATGAAAAGTTTAATGACTTATAAGTTTAATCTCTACAGTTAACTTAGACTGTGGGATTTTTTGGTTTTTCATTTTTTTTGAGCCATTTAAATATCTTTATTTTTTAAATTAAACATCTTTGATTCTCTTATCGTTTTTCTTTTACTTCAAACCATATAAATTATTTAAATGATTAACGATTCATTATGAATATCAAATAATTGAAAAAACAGAAGCAAAAAGAAACGGGTGTGAATTCAACTCAAAAAAAAAACATGACTAAAATTAAACGATGCTTATTATTGAAGAATTAAAAGAATACAATTAAACCCAAAAGTTTGTGTAAAAGGATGAAAATATTGAATAAAGGAGATATTAAATAAAAATATTGTAAGTTTTGAATAGATTAAAAACAAAAGTTTTACGTAATTTGTTTATTTTGGACATCTTTCTTAAGATCACTCCTTTATAGAATGCTTTTGGAAAACCCATCATGTCATAATGCTGATACATGTGGTGGACATGGAAGGATTTTGAGACAAGGAACTGGTCGGACATAGTTTATAATGTTTAGGGTCCCCAAGTGGTGCAATAATTTAAATAAAGCATCCTATGTCCCTTGTCGAAGCATATCCTCCTCAGCATTGAGCATGAAAGAGTTTAACAAATTATTCTTTTGTAATAAATTTCTACTTTTGAACGTGTTTGCCACCTTTTCACCTTCACTTATTTTGCTTTTGATGAGTTGTAGCTAGCATACAAGCTTCAAGATTCACAATTATTTTTTGTTCTATTTATTTTGTTTCTCACTAAAACTAAAATCATACACCATTACAAAAAACACAGATACCATTCTTCTCCTTTTAACAACATAGGGGTGAATAATATTGTTGTTGGAACAAATAATCAAATGACAAATTTTTATACTTCATATTTTTCGACATTAAGAACACAATATCATGCATCTCTTCATGAAAGTCAAAATTGTTTTTCCTTAAAAGTACATTGGTTTCTGTGTTGTCATATGTAACCATGTAATGGTTTTTCCTCCAAAGCACATTGGTTTTTGTGTTGTCAAACGCACCATAAAACTTGTCACCTCTCACCTTTTCTCTTCACAGACATACAAGAAGACAATTATAGAAAATGTCCTCCAGGATTCTTGATAAAATAATTAATGAGTATTTTAAATTACTCATCACAAGAAGACTATATCTTAAGACTTCAAAGGCTAGTTTTACGTAAAAATTTCATCCTATTTTTCCTTCTATCTTCATTTATCTTACCACATTTTCTTTCCAATTTCATTAGAAAATTATTGATCAAGATTATCTCTCCGTTCAAACTAATTTTGGCACTGATGAAGATTTTATTTACGATAACTACTCTTCCTTGTCTCATATGTGTTTTTAGAACTTTATTTTCCTCCATTTTTCACCTTCCATATAAACGTAATCTCAAACGACTTGAAATTACTTCCTTTGCAAACTTTGTTCAAATATTTTTGTAACACCCTAAAAAATTTCCTCTCTTTTATAATGCTTTTGTTCAAATATCTAAATATAAACTCCAAAAAATATTATTTATTAAATTGGAATGATTAAAAATATTAAAATTTGAAATGTAAAAATTAAATTTGATTATGATAATTCAATCATTAAAATTTTTATTTATTTAATTTAGTAATCTATGATTTGATTTGAGAAATATTTATAAAATTTTACTTATAAGTCTCCCGCTAGACTAATTTAATATTGATGTGAGGGACACAAAATTTATTATAGTGAAAATATAATAAATAAGTATAGATGAAATTTTAAATTTCATTTGATAAATTATTATGCTTCTAGCTAATAAAACAAAGTTTTAATGAGATATAAGTTAGCATAAAATTTAATTTAATTTCTTAATTGTGATTTAAAGTGTCTAAGACTTATTAAATTAGATGTTTCAAAATTAAATTATAAGGTAGCTAAAATTTCAGTCAACACTAAACTAACCTGCATATCCCATCTTAGACCCTTCACCAATTAAATTACATGCAATAATCATACTCCACTTAATTTTCATATGAAACAAAAGGTGATAGAGTGAGGTTTGTTCACAATACACATATTTCCTCAAATCTTACTCTCTCAACTAAAGAGTTATCTCAAGTTAGAACTCACACACCCTCTTAAAAAGAAAACAAGCTTAGTAAAGATTGTTGTAATCTTGTCCTATAACCTCGTCTTAATATTTCTTTACTTTACTTTTAAGGTAAGGGGGTGAACCTTGATGAACCTCAACTATAATTATGGTAGGAATTAAGGTCATGATTATATAAATTGTTTTTCTCATTTGCACGTTTGATTTATGTATATGCACGAGAATTTATTTGATTTTTTTTTTTTTTTGAGAATGATAGTTGAAATATGCATTTTTTTTTTTCTTGGTTTCATGAGTTGAAAAAATATTTTAAAAACAAAGAGAACTCTTTTCAAAGTTTTTTGGAGTTTTAGAAAATACATTAATTGGATGTTGAGAACGAGAACAAAGTGATGAAGACAAAAGTTGTGCATGTTTGTTTTTCCTGAGCGATGATCATTGTTTTATATTTTTCTCAAAATATAACCAATGAATTTGCATAAAACTGGTTTTGTTTTAAAATAGACGTATAAGGTGACAAGTTTTATGTTTAACACAAGAAAAACCCTAAAAGTGGTTTATCCAAGACTATCAAAGTTATCTTTCTATTTTGCTCTCATCAACTTAACAATGTCTACCTTTTCTAAAGTTTGTAACAATGTGGGTATAATTTTAAAATAAAATAAAAATCTGAAAACAGAGAGAACTATTTTTTAGTAAAGGTATCACAGTTAATTTTTACTAATTATTTTATAATTTTAATAAAATATAAATTTTTATGTAGGGTTGAGATGAGTTATGTTTATCTACTAAAGGTAAAAAGAGATTTTATTACGTAGATAAAATTAAACTTAAAGATAATCCTGTTAACTTTATATAAAAACAAATACTATACAAAAAGAATTTGGGAAACTTGAGAAAAGAATCAATATTTTGACTAAAGCCACAGTGGAAGTTTGTTCAGCCATACTACCGTTTGAAATTCCTATTAAAATTTTTAAATTTTTACTTGATGCGCATAATGTCATTTCAAAAACTAGATTTAATGGCATTTAATCTTGTATCAAATTTTTAATTATAAAAAAATGTTTTAATAATTTTAAAATCAAAGACAAATTATCATATTCTCGTGACCATTCACTTTACCTTTTAAAGATTAATTATATAATATTATTACTTGTATTATTTATATAAATTGTTAAGAGAAATATGACTTCTAAACATTTTTATGACTATATATTGTATGTTTCTTTATTTGGATTTAATTTGTCTATCATGCATTAAATAAGATATTGTGATTAAGTTTAATCATACATGTACTTGGTACATGAAAAAATAAAACAGAAATAAAAACTTGAATACGAGTTACTGATATTAATCATAATTTATGTCAATTATTAAAGTTGATCTTCGTCTTGAGGTTGAGAACCTTTGATGCAGATGGATAGTTTATGCGTCCATAGTTGTGAATCACTTAATAACTCCGATTTATATAAAAACCCTTAAATGATTTCGAGAAATTACCTCAAGTATTCATGCAAACTTTATTTATAATGGACCCAGTCTATTTTCCATATTATTGATCAACTCCACCGATGGAGATTATTAATATTTTCTCATCTTTGTTTCCATCATGGTCAAGCCCTTCATACCACCCTCAATACCATTTAGAACATTCGAGTCACATTCTTACATGCCATTTATCACCACTACCAATTCACTTAGTGATACAGATTTTCCTTGTAGGTACCAAACCTCAAACGTTAACCTTGCAATGCACAAAAGCTAGGAGATTAGCACCGCTAATTGTAGAGATGTGAAACATACAAATAAGGAGGAAGCTTTAAAGACATGGGATGAAGGTAGTGAAATAATGAATGACAGAGGAGGGAACCAATCTAGAGGAGACTGAGGAGATCGGTAATAATAGGGATTTGGAGATACTAAACATCATTGTTACTACATTAATGAAGATTCATGTGGAATATGGATTCTGACGAGAATCCAAAGGATCTCAAGCGGAATCTTATGGAAATTCTTCTAAAGATCCAATAGTTAGGATATTTTTATCTTAACAACTAACTTAGGTCTCCATGCGTTTTCATATCTAATAAGATATTAGAGATTAGTGCTTTAAATATTAAGATTTTTTTTAAATGATGTGTATTTTAGATTGGGTAAACCTAAATGTTCAGAATATATATATATTATTCTTACCTTATCATTATATTATATGTATTGTAAGTATACTAAAAAAATATATATATGACTTAGCTTAAAGAATTACTTTTTAACTCAAAATTAAATATATTTTATTACTTATTAGTATGATAAGTAGATATTTTCATTGCGATTTAATAAAAATGTTCAATCTGCATTTTTCGAGTGAATATATCCGTTGACAGTTTCAATGTCATTTTTTAGTATTGTAATATTTGAAGTATCTCTTATTCTACAATTTCTCAGTATAATAAATAAATAAACTATCAAACCTGGGCCTTCAATTTTGCTTTTGTCTATCTAGCTCTTTATCTTTCTATTTGTTTTCAAGAATCACCAAGAATCCATGACCAAAATCATTCTTTGTCCAAAAGCAGTGGTTTAGAAGCTGAGAAACACAAAATATCTATCATACTGAACCAAAAGGATGCATCAGAATTCTATAATGGGGCCATTCTCATGCATATATGTTTAGCTAATATATATATATATATATATATATATATATATATATATATATATATATATATATATATATATATATGCTGAAGCACCGGTCTGTGTTTGAGTATCTTCTCACAGAGACCTTGCTGGTGTCCATTATCTCGCCCCAGAAAAATGATAAATAAATATTCTTATCTACCCACCACGCATGCTGCTGGAAAGTTCCACACCCCCATTATTTGAAGGTATATGCATACATACAGAAGGCAGCATGAGAAAAATTAGTTTAGAGTTTTGTGGTCTCAGTAGTTGTTTGACGTGAAATTCTAAACAGAAAGAATGATCTTCACATATGGGGTTACATCAACTAGATTCACCAATAATTACGCCACCCTCTTCTTGCTCAAAAGCTTCTCACAAACTTAATCGTGCAGCATTGTCTCCTCCTACCCTGTGTTCATAATCATTTTGTATCTGCAATAGGGTGAGTTTGAATAAAGTATGACAGGTACCTTTTTATGTTAAACAAGTGTTCTTCTTCACCAAATTGACCAACCATTTATAAGATAAATTTGGAATGTAATAAATTATGTAATATTCTATTTATGATTCCAAATTATTTATGAAGTTCATGACATGATTCTATCGATGTAAACCATGCCGGAAGACATATCTCAGGGTTCATTATTCAACCTATAAAAAGTGCACGAGTGGATCTAGTTGACACAATAATTGACTATTTTGATCATAAGTGAAAGAAAAAAAGAAAAAATCTATAATACCCCTATATGTTTCTTATGCTGAGACTTCATCGTAGATTTGATGAGTTTGTCTCACATGCCAACGTTAAAGTCACTTTGATGATGTAGTGATTCAATAAAGTCGTAGTAGTCCCTTATTATAATAAATCATACAAAAACACATATATATATATATATATATATATATATATATATATATATATATATATATATATATATATATATTTAATTTTCAGTTTTAAAAAAGTCTTCAATCTTACCAATGTTATCCATCTTCAATTCGGTAAGGAAAAGCCATATATAAGTATGATACATTTCTTCAATCTCGTTGTGTTATGTCCAGAATAAAAAAAGCTACCGTTGAAAATTAAACAAATTACGAATAATTGAAAATTAAACAAATTACGAATAATTGAAATTTAAGGGATCATAATTGTGTGAAAAGAAATTCAAGAAACAAACTTATAACTAACTAAAAGTTACGAAATTAAAATTGTAGAAATAAATCAAGGACCGAAATTACAAATTTTACAAAATGTAGAAACCAACATTATAATTAAACATTAATTTGAAAAATCCTTTATTATTTTGTTCTAATATTAAAGTTTATTTCAATCAAACACTTTTAATTCTTATTTTATTTCTCGACTATTTTTATTTTACTAATTTATTTTATCTTTAATTATACAGTCTTACATTTCTCAATTAATTATTGCCAAATTATATAAAGTATTCCATTCTTTAGTAAGAATTTACTTTGATGGGTTAGGAATGCTTTGATGAGTTGTTAACATCGATTAATATTATAAAAAATATATATTTTAAAGTTAAAATCGTATTATGAAACCATTCTTTTCATTTTTTTAAAAATTTATCCATTTCTATAAATTTTAGTGACCTAATGTTATGTTTTGATGACAATGTAGTTTTATCTGTAGCTAACATAATGTTATGTTTTGATGACAATGTAGTTTTTCTGTAGAAGCTAAGTGAATATGTCAAAATGAACTATGAAGTTAGCTAGCTTAAGGGTGACAATTAAATCTGGATTTGTGATATTGATCCGTTTCTATCCTAAATTTAATAAGAAAAAAATAAATTGAGTGAAAATGGATTCAGATTTTTTTCAATTTTAAAAAGTCGGAGATAAGAACAAAAATGGGAGAGACAAAATCCACCCGTCCCATTGTCATATCTCCTACTTATTTGATCACTTGTTTAGTTAGACCAAAGACTCTAATTCGAAGACTACAAATTTCATTGTGTTGCACGTAACAAACCCTATAAAGTTTAACCAAAATGTAAGTATTAAAAACTGTGATTCACGTTTAAACATGAATATCACTCGAACAATTAGGATAAAACTGAGCTCACACACTAATTCGTCTCGAAAATGAATATGCAAGATTATTCTCTTTCAAGAATTTTACACTTAAATAAGAGAAAAGAAATAATTTTAATTCAAGTTCACAAGTTCATGAAAAAGCTCTTCTCTTTCCAGAATTTTAAAGATAGTCGTGGAATAAACATCAAATAAAAAAAAGAAAAGTGTCTCTCTCGGTTGCATTTTGCTTTCTTCCATGTATAAGGATATTACTTTGCATTTCCTTTATAAACCACACTTTTGTCTCATAATAACTTAGTATATTATTTTATGGTACCATAAATAATACTCGTTTTCATAAAGCTAACTAATGACAAACACATTCGAAGGGAAAACCATTGGCACAAGTGGCAAAACACGTGGATACATTATGATTTGTGAACAACAGTTAATTAATAATATAGCTCGACCTGGTTAAGGAGGTTGAAGCCTTCACGTGCCTTACTTTGAAACATATGATGACACTTCTTCCATAATCCCCTGTTAATAGCATAATCTTAATCATGCTACTCATGTTCCAACACTTTCTTATACTTGAATTTAGCTATTCTATGTTGAAAACCCATAGCTGGTATGTACGAAACTGTGGCCAACTTGATGGTAATTAAATAACATAAATATAACGAGGAAAAATAAATAAAAGAGTAATTTACTTATAAATAAAATAAAATATGCATATTGACATTATAAAACAATTTTATACTATATATAATAGTTTTTTCTATTTTGTGTGATAATTATTTTAAAAGTAGTGTAATACAGATTTATGTTGAGTTACCAATAGTCATTAAACTCGTAATTAATTTACAAATTATTTTCTCGTGTATTTTGTTTATGCTAGCTTTTATTTATTTCTCTCTTACATATTGTATGCTTTTTTTTTATCACTCTTTTTCATTGTTGACAAAATTTATAAGGTTAAAATTTTAATTAATTAGTTTAGAATGATTTTCACATCACACCCAGATACGACAAAACTCATGTGAAACTTTGTTGAAAAGGAAACGGGAACTAATATCTTAGTATCTCAAGCAAATTTAACCTAACAAACGGTCGAAGAGAAAGTTAAAAGCAGCATAAAAAGGTTTATTATTAATACTTCTTTGACATGATATTATTGTTTTATAAAAAATATGAAAGCAAACAATAAAAGTGAGTGGCTGCAGCTACAAATTGCTATTATTTTAAGAAGTTGCAATATTAAAGACGAGTATAAAGTAAACACAAAGGTTTAGGAGATGTCAAGTTGGAAAGGGTTTTGTTTCCATACACCTTTCAGCAGTATCATCTTCTCTTGCCATTAATCACATCGTGTTTTTGGAAATGAAGGTTTCGCTCTTCTTCTTCTTCTCTGTCTTCTTCTTCTTTTTTTTAAGGCTTTTTTTGGTTTTATATATGTTCATAGATTATACCTAGCTCTGAGGGAAACAAAATCTTATTATATGATCCGTTCAGCAAATTAAAAACAAGGGTAGCTCCATTTCAAACTTTCTTTTTGTGTTAGTCTTTTTCGTCTCTTAGGGGTTCGAAAAGATCGATATGTTTTAATTTTGTTTCCTTACATTCCCAGTTCTGTTAATAATAATATATAGAGCATTATTCTTTAAATTAATTCTCAAGAGTTAGCCTAGTATTATCGTACCCATTTTTCCCAGTAAAATATTTATCAATCATGAAATTAATATTTCAAACACACGAAATGGTTAAAAAATTCACCTTCACACAAGCATTTTGATTGGCAACAATCTACATTTTTTATAACAAGCATATATATATTTTAGTTAGAAAACACTTTATATAATTTGGTGTTATTTTTTGGTACTTAAATTTTTGTTATCTCTGTCCCATTTAGCAAGAACTGTGATAAACATGTGCACTGGTGCTGAATCTCGAGGAATTGTAGAAGGTAACCCCGTGAACAATTCCAAGGATGGCCATGAGAATGGAATGAGAAGCAGAGAAGGTGGTGAAGGAACAAGAAACTGTGGTTGTGGCAGATTTCTTCATGACCTTCGTCAACAATTACATAACCTAAAGGAACTTTTGCCTACACTTTCTCTCTCTGAGGTTCGTAATAACTATATCTCTTCTTCTCTGTGTATGTGTGGTCTTTGTTCTGCAAGTCCTTCTGCTGCCATGATTCCACTTCTTAAAGAGTGTTTTATTATTATTTTTTTCTTTTGGGTCAAAAAGTAAAAATATCGTAATTTGTAGGGTTTAAAAAAATAAATGATGATGTCCATGTTGTACGGAAAGAAGGTATAATAAAAAACAATTTAGCATTGCAAAAGATTTTCTTTCTATTATGTTATTCCAGCCTCTGGCCATGGTTGTTGAGATGATGGTGTTGCTCATGGTTTCAGGGTTTCATAATGTTATTTTCTTGATGATATATAAACATTTTTTTTTACATATATTATACAATCTATGAGTTTCTATTATTTTTTTACCTTTTTTTTTCTATATTATATAATATATTTTGTGTGTTTAGGTTTTTGGTGCCACTTTGTTTTGCCCATATTTTTATATACAATTTGTAAAGATTTACTGCAGAACCATATAAGTCAAATATCTACATTTTATTTCTCTCTTTTTCTCTTATTCTCTAATAGAGTGTAGTTTTCACTAGACTTTTTTTCAATTATGCAAAAGAGAAATAATATTTGTAACGAAAGTTTTTATTTTGAAAATTACACGAACCCACTTATATTGTTTGAATTTTTTCTATAAATTTTGAAAAAAAAAAGGTTGAAACTAACATAAGTTAATTTTTAAATAGTATGTTAAATTCTTTAAACATTAATTTAAACGTACATATAAGTTAATTTTAATTTATAAAAAAGTTATGATAAACACTGAAAAAAAAATGTTTATTTCATTTTACACTCTTTGACAAACACAATTTTCATCTTGTCTTTCTATGGTTAATTCTTTCGCACAACCATTTCCGTAACATATAGCAGTTCTCTTTCCAAAATGAAAGATTATATATGCTGTGAACCAAACACCAAAGTACAATCAGAAATTATTTTAGGGTAGAATACAAAAAGAACAAAATTTCAGTCAAGTTAATAGGCAAGATTCGAAATTTACTTTATTTCTTCTACAAATATTATGTATTCACTTTTAACAATATATTATAAATATTAAATTGATTAATGTTCTAACGAAGTAAATTAAGTTGATTTTTTTTACAGTATAAAAAATAATGAAGTGTAAAGCTGTCAAAATTTTGGTCCTATTGATAACCAATCTAAACTATATTTAAGTGGTAATAGTTTTTAGCTTAATCTAATCTTATGTTAAATCATTTAGTTAACAATTTAATTTTAACTTGATTAAACATTAAAAACATTATTAACCTGTTTATATAAAAATAATTCATTAAAATGTTTTAATTAAAATTAAGAATATATTTTAAAATTTAAAATTATATTAATGAAATTAATTTTTATTTAAAATATAATAATTTAATATATAAATTAAAAATAATATATTTATTTAGTCTTAAAAGTTAAAAAATTATTCTTTATTATTATTATTCTATCTTTTTAGTGATTTATTGATATAAAATAATAATTTATCTTAATTGTTAAATTGTAGTATAAGTGAATGGATTATGACTTCTTCTTATCTCTATTCTTAAAAAAAAACTAATCTTTTGTCAAGTTAATTTATAATACATATATATTTTTAATAAAATAATATTATATTTATTTTTATTTAAAAAAATTTATTATTTTATAAAATAAGTAACCCATAAGTCTAATCAACCCTAAATCCATGAACTAAATCAGATAACGCAAAATAGGTCTAATAATTTATTTTATTTCTTGAACTTTTTAGATTGAACTAAACCTATTTTGATATTTTTAATTAAATATATATTTTTTTCTTTTAATATATAAACGTTATTTGAAATATAAGTAAACTTTTATTATAGATTTACATATTATAAATATCTAAATTGTATAAACAGTTATCTTGAGAACTAAACTGCTAGATCAATGAAATTTATCATAAAAAGGTGTAAATTTGACCGAATGTAACACGTAATATTTACAAATGTTGTTCACTTTCGAGATATTATTTATTATTGAAATTTAATCCATGATTTTATCTTATATAAGTATATAGTCTAAAACTATATATATAATTCTTAAATCCTAAGAAATATCAAAATATTTTTTAATTTATTTTTTTAAAATATTTTATCAATTTCTTAGAAGTTATAATGATTATTAAAATTTATATATCCATTTTTAAATGAGTGGAGAGCTTCGAGTTTCTTAAAAGAAATAAAGAAGTCATTTACCCTTTAAATTTACTAATTTATATATGTATTTATAATTTTGACAAATTTAATACTTATGCTTCTATATTTATAAATTTAACTTCTAATCTTTATATATTTTTTATTTTTTTATATTTATTTATTAATTATTTATTGATAATATATTATTTATTTTTTCAAAATTATTACTCATAATATTAGAAATTCTTCCTCTCCAACGGAACATCAGTATCACTGACCTCAGCTATAATATTTCCTCTATAGAAAATATAATCATTGCTTTTATATTTTAGATTATTTTTATTTTAAAAATATTCTTTAATGGATGGTTAGAGACTATAAGTATAATTGACATGAGTTTTGTATCTCTCTAACAATATTTATTTTTTCATAACCATAACGAGATAACATATCCAAATAATTGAGTTATCAATTAACCATGTGAGACGAGTTGGTTCTAATTTTGGATTTTGAAATTGGGTGCATCGAGGTCTTTGATTATAAAATAGTATATAGATTGAGAAAAGATAACATAATCTTGGTCTAGTTCGTAGAATCACACACACAAGTAGCGCAATTTAAGGTGGAGCATTCGTTGTTTCGTTGTTTCTCTATACTCGTCTAGCCAATCAATAATGATATTCGCATGTACTGTTTTACTTTTAGAATTTTGTTTCACGGACTTTAAGGTAAACTCGTTTCAATTAATTAAAAAAGATAAAGTTTTTTGTAAGCACTAATATGAGACAATAAAACTTGTCCCATTCAAACCCCAAATCAATGTCTCATTTATGTTTTTTTTTTCTAACATTAAAAAAAACTACAAGAGGATATTATTTAATGACTTGCATCAAAATCTATGAAAAGTTTATGATGATAAATTACATGCAATTATCATTAGTGATATTCAACGAGTTAGTCAATTTATGAACTAACTTAATAGTAAATTAATTTGCATTTGTGAGAGTTATATAAATAAAAAATGATAATAGTCTTAACCAAAAGAAAAAAAAGTTAAGAATGTTTCAGTAAAATGTGTAATTTTAATTTTATTATTTACTTATTATAATTTAAATTATTTAATTCTATACTAATTAATTATATTTCAATAAATACAAGAAACGAAGTTAAAATAAATCCATTTATACAATACAAATCTAAGCTCTTTTTTTTCCTCTGAATCGGTGAAAACTTAACTCTGTCAAAATGATTCTTTTAGGTCAGTAGGTTAAAGTGTTGACGTGTTGAAGTGTCAGTGTCAGGTTTTTCGAAACGAATTTGAGAGTTAAGAGAAAAACTATTTTGACACCACTCTTTTGATAAACATTTAAACAATAACCAATTTTTATATTATAATAATAATTTTCAATTAATTTTTTTAATTCTTTAAAGATTATTATATTAATAAATAGAGTTGATGTTTGTAGAAAAACAGTTGTCAAGAGAGTTAATTCATGAAAGCAGTATTCTCAAAATAATATTTTTTATTAAAAATCTAATAAAAAAATGGTTATCATCGTGGCTGACACATATGAGATGCACTTGCGTGCATGCATGCATGCAGGTGAAAGAAGAGCTGAAATCACTGGCGAACATTGCATGTCCAATAATGATGACAAACGTGCTTTTGTACTCACGATCTGCCATTTCGATGCTTTTCTTGGGTCGGCAAGGGAAAGTTGAGCTAGCTGGAGGAGCACTTGCAATAGGGTTTGCAAACATCACTGCAAATTCATTCCTCAAGGGTCTCACTATGGGAATGGACCCAATTTGTTGCCAAGCATATGGAGCAAAAAGATGGTCAGTTCTAAGCCAAACCTTTTGCAAAACCTTGTGTCTTCTACTCCTTGTTGCCATCCCCATTTCACTACTATGGCTAAACATGGCACCCCTCCTTCAGTGGCTAGGCCAAGACCCTGAAGTCACAAAGGTTGCACAAGTTTACATGGCCTTCTCTATCCCAGAATTGGTTGCACAAGTTCATCTCAATCCATTGAGGTCTTTCTTGAGAACACAAGGCTTAACAGCTCCACTAACTGTGGCTGCCTCTTTTGCTGCCATTTTACATCTTCCAATAAATTACTTCTTGGCCACATATTTGGAGTTGGGAGTGAAAGGCATTGCATTAGCCACAGGTTTGAACTCCATAAACATGATCCTAGGCTTGGTGCTTTATCTTCTTCTGTCAGAGAAACCTCTAAAACCGTGGGAAGGTGCCACTATTTTGTCCTCCTTTCATGATTGGAGACCATTGCTAAGTCTAGCATTGCCTAGTTGCATGTCGGTGTGCTTGGAGTGGTGGTGTTATGAGATACTGCTCTTCCTATGTGGCTTGTTGAGTAATCCACAAACCACAGTTGCTACCATGGGTGTCCTAATTCAAACAACTGGGTTCCTATATGTGTTCCCATTTTCATTGAGTGCTGCATTGACAACACAAATTGGGCACTCACTAGGTGCAGGGCAACCCTCACGTGCACAATGTACAGCCACAATAGGACTTTTGGTAGCATTTGCATCTGGGGTCTCAGCCTTTGTTTTCTTGATGTTTGTGAGGAAAGTGTGGGGGAAACTCTTCACAAGTGAGACACAAATTGTTGATATGGTCACAACCATACTTCCAATTTTGGGGTTGTGTGAGATTGGAAATTGGCCTCAAACTGCTGCATGTGGGATCTTATCAGGGACTGCACGCCCTTATGTGGGTGCAAGAATAAACCTGTGTGCATTTTACGTAATAGGGTTGCCAGTTGCAATTTTTGCTGCTTTCATGCACAGATGCCAATTGAGAGGTTTGTGGTTTGGCATGTTGGCTGCACAAATTTCGTGTTTTTGTATGATGGTGTACACGTTGATTCAAACCGATTGGGGGCATCAAAGTAAAAGAGCTGAGCAACTAGCTCAAAGAACAGATGATGAGGAATGTGGACTCCTTAACTCTGATTTATGAGATATTTAAATCAATTTTGCATAGTCATAGTCACTAGTTATTCATATATAATTAGGTGGGTACAAGCGCCTCACTTCATGATCCACTATCAATTCATGCCCAAAGTTTCCAGATAAACATCCCCCACCCAGCCATTAATATAGGTAGTTTTTAGTAAACTATGTAAAAGTGAATTTTGGTTACCATGTTAACATGTCATGATTTCAAAATGAGTGACTTCATTATTATTATTATTATTATTATTATTATTATTATTATTATTATTAATCAAACATGGGTAGCTTGACTTACTTCAAGTATGTATCTGGTTCTTTAATTATTTTTAAAAATTATTCAATATTTTTAAGAATAAATTGTGATTAACGATTGAAATATTTAGATTTTTTCTTCTTCTGCATTTCTAGAAATATTAAGCATACAAAATCATTTTCATCCCAGCAAATGGTACTAGGCCCAATAGCTTCACTCACTAGTCATCAGTCCAACATACAGATTTCATGAGTAATATCTCTCTTGCAAACGGTTCTGTTCGGACTCATTGTTATCACTCTGTTAAATTGAAGAGTTTTATAATTATGAGTTTATGATAAATAATACTATTTTATTTGGTCTAACCATGGAATTTCCCTTGAAACCAGCATTTTTATTGTAGCACATGTGCCACTGTGGCTTAATAGGAGGTAAAGGAATTCTTGGTGTTTGGATTGTGAGAGAATTCTCATTGTATTAAATAGAAGAACATCATTTAAATGAGAAAAATTCAATATTTTATTATAGAGAAATTCAAAAACTTATATAAAACCATGTAATAATATGAGAAAATAACAAAAAAAAACAAAAAAAATAATTAACTACTAATAACCGATAATTAATTATAAATTGAAACTAAAGACTAAGAAATTTATATTGAGCAATACCCTTTAAATTGGGTGTCAGTGATCACAAGGTTCTTGATAATAAAAATGTCAATCAAAGTGTGATAAACAAATTTGTCAAATGTATCATTGGACGAGGAAGAAAAATAGAAATATGTGAATTAAGTATTGCTTGAATTTCTCACATTATAGTCAATGATCTAGATTCTTATTTTAAATTTGATATCTGAGATTTGTTAACATACCAATTTTTATCATATTATTGTCACGTCATCAGTATTCACAACTTAAGAACAATAAAAAAATTGAAGTTAGAATCTCGTCCTTTAAATAGATACCTCATTCTTTAAATAAATCTATAAAAGAAAATATTAAAATAAATTTACTGAATAGTGCATGATAAAAAAAATAAAATTATGATACATAATATATTAATAAATTTGAGTTTTATTGCGAAAGTCTTAATGAGAGTGATAATAATTGTTTACGGAAGGAAGGTGATTGGATTTTAATGAGTTCATGGTTGATAAAACTAAAAATTTTAAAATTACAAATATGTAAAAAAAAAATTAAATTCTATCACTCTAAAGTTGATACCTATAGGTCCTACATCAAAATGAACAATAATATTTTTCCCAATCAAAGCGTATTTTTCTTTTTATTATTCTCGTCCTATAACAACCCAAATAAGGCATGTACTTTCATGAGTATTTCCTTCTCAGACAGTACAAAATGTTTTAAATATTTATGAAAAAGGGAAAAAAGGATTTAATCAATTTAATATGTTGAAAACTTATTCTTTATGACTTTTCATTAATATTCCTTAGAGTTTCCAAAGGGAAATCTGAATGGAAGTGAAAGGAAAACTAGCAGAACACTGTGTTTATTTTTATTTATTTATTTTTAAGAAGTTTATGCCATTTAAGGTTCAAGTTACAAAGAAAAAGAAGAAGTAATTACTCATTAAAATGATTTTGCATTTTCCTTCAATAAGATAATCGCATATAAGAATATAAGAAAATTTTATTCTTATAATAATATAATAGGCTTATTTAAATTATATGAAACTTGATACACATCATAATTAAACTTAATATAATTAGATTCAAGAGCTATTGTTAAATAAATAAAAAAAATAGAGTTAATTATTCTATATTCATACCAACACTCTAATAATCTTTCTCTCATGTGAGTCTTTAGTGTTGTATGTTTTTCCACAAGGGAAAGCCTGTTTTCATCCTAAGAAGTGTTACTTTTTATTCTGATCATTTATTTGTTTGTGATATAATTATAACATAATAACTTTTCATTTATTTAAAAAATACAGAATATAAGGATGTGAAGGAATATAATAAAATAAATTTTATCAATTAATATTTTAGTAAATAATTTATAATAAGACATTAGCGCACAAGGGAAAATTAACGAACCGATTAAGCCGGAAGAGGATATGTAAGTCCGTACATAGAATAGTATATATAGTATACATGTCCAAAACATCCTCGACGACCAACTATAACGTCCTAATATATGATCCTACTGCATCAGCCAAAAATTTTCTTATTTTCCTCTCTTACCTCCACGTGTCTCTCTTGGATTGGTACCTATTTTATTTTTTTCTTTTTCTTTTTTTCCTCTCTCTTCACACACACCACTACGTATACTTTCTCTCTCCTTCCACTTTTGAGTCTTCTCTGTAGTCAGAACACATACCCTGAATATCTTCTCCTTCTCCCAATATTCGTGTCTCGGCACACCCCACTTCTAGAGAGAGAGAAAATTCACCTCATGTCTTTTCCAAAGGCATCAACTTGTGGAGTGTGAGACTGAGAGTGGGTGGTTTTTCACTTTTCATTTGTTTCAACTTTCAACCCTCTCTTGCCTCTCCCACTTTCCTGTGATGTTATTTTTCTGGGAAATATTATTATTTTAAGCTCATGTTGTTGTAAGTTGCTTTTCATCTTTTTCTTCTTTTTGTTTTGTTTTTTGGTTTCTTCTTCTTCTTCTTATCTTGTTTCTCTTTTTCCTTTTTATTTTCTTTGGATGAACTGCACTCAGGTCAGCTTCTCACTGAAGCGTAGACAAGGAATATGATACTTTTGGGGGTGGGGGAAGGAAGAAGATAATTTTTTATTTTTTATTTTTCAGGTTCATGTGAGAGGAAAAAATTGTGCTGTTACTTTTTTTGTTTTTTAACTTCTGGTTGTTCTTGGTAAGGGGTTAAAGTTTGAAGACGCCGTGTGGAGAAGAGAATATCAGCAATCAGTGAAATTGGGAGGGGCTTGATTTTTACTATGGAGACATGTTTATTTAGAAAAGAAGATTCTGGGGTTGTTGGTTTTGTTCTGTACTCATTGTATTAAAAGAATATTTTTTTTATGAGTTTTGAAAAAAAATTGTGGGGGTAACTATTATAATGAGGAATTGGGGAATAGTTTAAGGTCCCAGCATGAGTTTCAGAGAGGGTAAGATAGGAGAAGAGAGGGAATGTGAAGAATCAGTGTTGGGGAGCACTGAATCCAAATCGGCGAAGGAAAATGGGTCTTTGACAGACACACAGCTAACAATTGATGAGAATCTATTGGTTGACCCTAAACTACTCTTTATTGGGTCCAAGATAGGTGAAGGAGCTCATGGGAAAGTTTATGAAGGAAGGTCAGTGGCTAAGCCTTGGATGTGTATATCATGTTTTGTAATTTGTATGTCATGCCTTAGTTCCGTTATGTTTTCTTTAAAATAAAAAATTGTCTGAGAAGTCATGTCAGATCATACAGTGTTGGATATTTATCTACACTTTAGTTTTCATCATTATGTATATTTTTGTCCCATTAGCTGGCGGAATTATTGTATTTTGCTTTTCTGTTGTGCTTAAGTGCTGTGGCTGATTGTTTCAGCTAAATCACTTTTACTTTTGTCGTTGAGTAAACATGAACTTTGAGTCTTTGTTGGTTCAAGCAGTAAATAACTACATGTCACAAATTTCACCAACAAAGTTGGGGTTGCCCCTTCCACTGATTTGACATGTGAGGTTACTCAATACCAAGAAGCACATCATTTGCATGGAATTGATTTGATTTTACTTAAGCACAATTGATTTATGGCTCTTGTTAAAGAATTTGATTTTTCTTTATTGTGATGGTTTAACTGTTTCTGGTTATTAGAGTACGTGCTCAACTCTATGCTTGTGTGTGTGCAACAAGTGATTTGCTGGAAGTTGGAGTCATGATTTATGTGGGTTTAGATTAATAATTTTCAGGTATGGGGATCAAATTGTTGCAATCAAAGTTCTGCATCGTGGGAGCACTTCCGAAGAAAGAGCTTCCCTTGAAAATCGTTTTGCTCGAGAAGTTAATATGATGTCTCGTGTCCACCACGACAATCTTGTTAAGGTGAGTTCCATGGTCGCAAAATTATCTTTAACTCATTCTGTGTAGTTCTGTTTTATTGAAGCCTATGCAATCATGCTAAGTATTGCAGTTTATTTTCATTTATGCTAGTGTGAACGATTTCCTCTTATAGAAGATAACAATCTTACTAGTTTTTTTTTTCCTCGTTATAATTCTTTTGCAGTTTATTGGAGCATGTAAGGATCCTCTTATGGTAATAGTTACAGAGCTATTACCAGGGATGTCATTGCGTAAATATTTAATGAGTATCCGTCCTAAACTATTAGACCTTCATGTGGCTATAAACTTTGCTCTTGATATTGCACGAGCCTTGGATTGGCTACATGCCAACGGGATCATACACAGAGATCTGAAACCTGGTATGTTTATGTATATATAGCACATTATGTGTAATTAAGAAGTTGTATTACCTTAGCCAGTAATTCTTTATTAGAACTTTACTCTCTACTAACACTGGAACTTTACTCTCTACTACAAAAAGCCATTTAGTAAATTTTGACATGTATGACATAGTTTGAAATCTGAGTATATATTGGTGACTCTAGTATTGAAAGTTGTATCCCTATTCAACTATGTTTTTGAAATTGTCACAATGCAGACAATCTGTTACTTACAGCCAACCAGAAGTCTGTTAAACTTGCCGATTTCGGCCTCGCAAGAGAAGAAACTGTGACTGAAATGATGACCGCAGAAACAGGAACTTACCGTTGGATGGCACCAGAGGTATTTTATTATTATGTTGGAAAATCATGCTATTGTTTCTCATCTACTACTAAAAAATGTGCACCAGTTAGTCCAATAAAGCTGGCACATTTTGGTGTTTATTCTCCTGATTCATGATGTCATATAAGACGAACTGGAGACTCAATTGAAACCATCAGACTGAATTTAATACTAAAGCCAGTAATGATATACTCTTTACGTTCAGATGTACTAACAAAGAAAAAAAAAAAGTTCAGATGTACTTGTTTGCTAGAAAGGTGGACAAAATATTTTATTAGCATACTGATTAGTATCATGCAGTTCTTGCTTATTGTATAATCGCTGCATTACTCGTTTTGTGTAGTCAGTTCATTGCCTGTGAGTGGATATTTGTATTAGCATTGTTGTTTCTTCTTCGGTTGATTGACTGCACTTCCAATATTATTATCCCAGAAGTACTATATATATAAATAACCACTCTTTCCCTAAATTTATACTTATGAAAAGACTTAGTTTACATATATCATCAAGTGGGCTTAAATTGTTTTTCTGAGCAGATAAGAACCATTAGCAACCTCCATTTTGCTGAATAGCCAAAAGCCATTTTTGTACAGTAACGCACATATTTAGGACGCTTTTAGGGCTCCTAAATCTGCTCATTAAGAATGTACTACTTAGATTTTCTGACAATGTAGGCTTTGTTTGTGTTAATGGAGTTTGTTTTGACACGTTACACTAATTTTTGCAGTTGTACAGTACTGTGACTTTGCGCCAGGGAGAGAAAAAGCACTATAACAACAAGGTTGATGTATATAGCTTTGGAATTGTTCTGTGGGAGCTACTAACAAACCGCATGCCATTTGAAGGGATGTCCAATTTACAGGCTGCTTATGCTGCTGCATTTAAGGTATGAAATTCGATATCACTAGGTCCTTATAATCAATCAGTTGGTTGTCATTTGTCTCAAGTTAGAAATAATTTATGCAAAAATTCTCTATGCTATGTGGATAGATAATGCATACTTCCCTTATACATACCATATATGCTGTTGAAGCATCAAGTTTAATACATTAATTTGTACACTTCAAAGATACCTTTTTGGGAATATCTTGATTTGTTACTATTTGCTAATCATGAAATGGTTTGCATTTGAGATTGCAGCAAGAGAGGCCCAGCATTCCAGATGATTTATCCCCTGAACTTGCATTTGTCATACAATCATGCTGGGTTGAAGATCCTAACTTGAGACCGAGTTTTAGTCAGATCATCCGCATGCTCAATGCGTTTCTCTTCACTCTCTCACCACCATCTCCTCCTTTGCCAGTACCTAACAATGAACCCGAGGTGGCTACAACCAGTAATGGCACCATTACTGAGTTTTCTGCCCGAAACAGAGGAAAGTTTGGTTTTCTTCGCCAATTGTTTTCTTCTAAGAGGACCAAAAACTAACTTTAAGTTCTAAATTTTTTTAAATTCCCTTTTGTTGTAGATGAAAGGAGTTGCCATTGTATGGTATACAGTTTTAGTTAAATTATGAGTAACCCTCTCAGGTAACCAAAAGAATGTAACATGTTCTACAGAAGAAAGAATGTTGTTTATAGACTTGAAAGATTAAGGAAAGAAAAAAAGGATTGTTTACATTGTCTACTAGATGTTGCTGTAAAGGAACTAATTAGTTTAGACTTTTTACTGTTTTGAGAAAGGTTATTAATTATTGTGTACTGATTCATTGTACAATGGTTGTTTCCAGAGGATGGTCAAAGGTTAGTTTGTGTTAATTTGCGTATTATGGTACTCTGTGTTGCAGCATCTCTTTTCTCTGATGTTTCTGGTTGGATTCTTGAGCATATTGTTTAAGCAACTTTTTATATTTTGCTTTACCTAACATCTGCATGCGCATTATGCTTTAAATTTACTTTTCATTTTCATAGTTTTAATGATGTGTAATTTTGAGCTTTATAAAAATTCAATATTTTTTTAATCTTTCAGTTTTTTAAAATTAATTAGTTTATTAATATGAGTTTTTTTGTTTTTAATTTAAAAAAAATTAAAATTAAATGTGGAATAAATTATTATAGAAATTAAAATTATACATTTACAAAGTGATGTACATGCAAAGATTAATAATGGAGTTGATCCTCGATAAAGTGTGATTATATTTAGGTGATCATCTTTACGGTGTGATTAATAATGGAGTTAATCCTTAATAAAGTGTGATTATAATGTAATGCGATTTGGACATAATCTTCCTCGACCTTATAAAAATTTGCGTAGACTCAATTGAATTTGGCGTGAGATAAATTATTAAAATAGATTTTTTTTTCATATCTAGTCATGATACTGGCTGAAAATATTTATCGGTTCAATCAATGTTTAATATTTGATTCTTCATTTCTATTAAGATTTTTTTAATCATTTTTTTGTTCAAAGATTTAAAAATTGTTGAGGAATATTAAACGCCACTAGCTTATGTGAGAAGAACACGTGAAATGTCAATTATTGACTTTCACACGTATGGACAATGAAGTATATGCAAACCACCTGATTTCTCCCTCCTTAGTCGCTGTCGGCTCTGTCAATGATAGTGCCTAGAATGCTTTATCAAATTCAAAAATAAATTTACATTTACATGAAAATTATATCTATATTCTAAAATTACTTTTTTTTTTCTATAATCAAACATTTTATTCTTACTCTTTATATTCTTAAATTATTCTTTTCGTCTTTCTACATATTATTTTTAATATTTTTAGCTCTTAAAATTTTGGATAATAAAAATAACGAATTAAAATAATTTTTATACGAAGTAAAATGGTGTATGTTTTGTCACGTGATTGATTACAATATAACAACACACTATAAATATCTTGCACACTCGTTTTCCATCAGAAACAGCTGAAACTCTAACCAGTAACCATTGTTTCGATTCTAACACCCATTTCTGACAATTTTCATTTATTGCGTATCATTAGTTCACAGAGAATCTGCTTTAGCAAATCTTATTTTAGCTTCTCAATATTAGGGTATCTTTTCCTTCGTTCAACAGTAATACATGTTTATAAAAATTATTCATCTTAATCACACTTTCATTTCACAGATATAAACTTAGATTTTAATTTGTATATATGTTAATTAAGTTTTAAATATGTGACTATATCATTTTGATTTTTTACTTTTAATTGCTTCTATTATATATCTCGGATTTTACAATTATGTATATATGTCTTCAACCAATGTAAAAACAACAAATTTTTACGTGTTGTGATACCTCATGATAAAAAGTTATTTTAAAATTGAGATTAAAAGTGTCCTGTAGATATATTTTTTATATGGTTATTTAAGATCAAAATTAGGGTAGAAGAGAGTTTTAAAACGAATAATATATTAAAAGAACATTAATATTTATTTTCAGATAAAAAATATAGTTTTATTTTACTCATTTTTCTTAATTTTGAATTGAAATCAATAATATTTAAATATATTTTTCTTAAAAGTAAAATAAAAAATCTTTAAAATAGACCATACTTTCAATATGAGAAGTAATCTAAAATATTATTATAATTAACATAAAATCGAATTTTTTTTAACGAGATAATTATGATATTTAAATAATTTAATAGATATTATCACTACTACAGAAAACACTTTCTACGACAGCATCCAACGTTGGTTATCACGAAGACCGACGTTGTACAAGACGCAGTGACAAACTTGTAATTATGAAACAAAATTTAACGTCGGTTATATAATAACCGACGTAGTAACTGCAATTCAACGTCGGTTATATGACAGACGACGTTAAATGTTTAAATTTAACGTCGGTTATGTATAGCCAGACGTTGAATTCCAAAATCAACGTCGGTTAAATGATTTACCCGACGTCGAAAGCGTTATCCACGTCGGGTTTTTAATAACCGAGCGTTGAATGTCCTTTATACCTCTCCTCCTAGGCGTCGCTGCCCCTCGTCTGCTTCTTCTTCGTCCCACATACTCACTCCTTCCGCTTCTTCTTCGATGTGCCTCGGTCCTCACTGCTGCCCCTCGCAGCCCACTTCAGCCCCTCGCTCGCCCCTCGCCGCCCTTCGCGCCCACTCGTCGCGCTCTCATCGGGTTAGATTAAGTTGTATGGATGATTTACAGCATGCATTTAACATAAATATGGATTATTTAGAGCATTTCTGCGTAGGAACATTAGAAAGATGATGGATGATTTTGTATATATGGTTTGATTTGATCTAGGTTCGTTTAGGTTTCGAAGTGGTATATGGAACATTAGGTTTCGTTTAGGTTTAGGTTTAGGTTTAGGTTTCGAAGTGGTATATGGAACATTAGAGCATGTATGGAACATTAGAGCATTGTTAGGCAATGTACACGTTTTTTTTTGTATTGTTTTGTTAAACCTTTTCTAATAAACCTTGAATATCTAGGCAAGCCTTTTTGTGTAGTTAGATGGATCGAACTTGGGTCAATGTAAGTCGTATGTCAGAAGAGTATGAGAATGGAGTTGACTCCTTTTTGAAATTTGCCAGAACAAAATGCTCCCAAAATGAATGGAAAAATCTACGCCCATGCGTTAATTGTGTAAATGGCAGAGTACAAGAGATGGACACAACGCGGGAGCATCTTATTTGCGATGGGATGATGAAGAATTACACCATATGGACATGGCACGGTGAAGTGGTTGATATTCCAACAGTATCACAAACTATTGAGGATTATGTAACCTGCGAAGATCGAATAGAGGACATGCTTTGTGATGTGGGTCAAGAGAGCTTTCTTGAAGCACATGCATCTATATATGATACATTGAGGACCGATTCAGAGACACCTTTGTATCCCGGATGTACAACTTTCACACGGTTGTCATCTGTGTTAAGATTGGTCAATCTAAAAGCAAAATTTGGTTGGAGTGATACAAGTTTTAATGAATTACTCCAACTTTTGAAGGAGATGCTCCCAGACAATAACACCTTGTCGGACCGTATGTATGAAGCGAAGAAGATACTATGTCCGATGGGTTTAGAATATAGGAAGATACATGCTTGCCCTAATGATTATGTGTTATACAGGAAAGAATTCTCATTTTTAGACCAATGTCCAACATGTGGTGTATCACGTTACAAAACGAAGGATGGTGATGATTGTAGTCAGGAGAGTGGTAAAAAACGTCCTCCTGCAAAAGTTTTATGGTATCTTCCAATTATTCCAAGATTTAGGCGGTTGTACGCTCACGAAGATGCTGAAAATTTAATTTGGCATTCAAAGAGAAAAACATGTGATGGGCAAATGCGACATCCATCTGACTCTCCCCAATGGAAAAATGATTGATGTCACAAATGAGAATGGAGAAGAATTAGATGATTTTATTAACATTCAAAATTCACCACGGTTGCCTATTGCTATATCCCAATTGGAAGAGGACTTTGTTCATGCTACTCGCAATGACCATGATGAAGGCATATGGGAAAATATTAATACAATCTAAGTTATATTTCTATTTATTTATTTTTTTAACATGTAATTGAGGAGATTTTGCATGTGTATTGATATAATTCTATGTTTTTTTCATTACGGGTAAATGACATCTCCTCCACCATCTCCTCCACCATCTCCTCGGGCATCCGGAAAGATATTTTCCAGTAAGAGGAGTCGACAATCTACACGGTTGAAAGGCTTGACCGTTAGACACATATCCGGCCGAAGTTATCTGTTTCGTTGATCCTAGGACCGACAAGGTGTCGGGTCCCTTCGATACCCAATTTAGTAGCTACTTGGGTACACTAGCTAGAGAGAAGGTATTTATTCTATTTCAAAGTTAATTTCATTTCAAATATATTGTTGATACTTATGTTGTTTATGTTGTGTAGATATCTATTCTCCATCCTACTTGGGATCATGTGGAGGAAGCTGTGAAGAACTTGTTATGACAAGATCTTCTTGTAAGTATGTGTATTTAGTTGTTTATATTGTTTATACATTATTATCAATTGGTTAACTAAAACTTGTTTGCTACTGTAGGAACACTTTGATTTAGTTAATTCGAGGATGTGAGGAGGAAGATAATGACGGCCATAGCAAAAATGTGGAGACAGTTCAAGTCCACATTGACCACTAAATGGGTGTATGCTGAGGACAAAGTTAGCAAGGGATTAACCCCTTGCCAAAGATATGGCATAGATGAGGACACTTGGAAGAAGTTTGTACATAGTAGGACTGGTTCGAGTGGGAGGTAATAGCTTATGGCTTAATTGACTTGAATATTTCATAATGAGTTGTGTATCTAATATTGTGTTCAATTATGTTGCAGGAAAGAAGACAAAAAGCAAAAGACATTCAAAGGAAGAATGTCGCCCCCACCTTCGTCTCGTGGGGAGTACGACTTATTGACTAAGAAGATGATGGAGTAGAAGAGTAGACTTCGACGGTCGGAGTTAGCCTCTTCCGGTTTA